AGAGGTTGCCCTCATCTCCTCTGAACTCATGGACACACATGTTGGAAGCATTAGGTTGGGGGCTCTTGTGGATTGCTGTGTATTAACCAGTAGAGAGCAGATGGTTAGGCCCAACTTGAGGTAGCTTCTTATATGTTATCAATATTATCAGAAACGTGACTTTAATTATGTATTCCTAAATGTGTAATGATACTAAGGTTGCAGCTTGTTCTCAGCAATACTGTTGGTTTGGAAAGTATAACCCTCCCCAGGTCTCATTCTTAGGAAGCCCCCCAAGGGGTGGCCCGTGTGTGTGGATGAGTTGGGGTGATGCAGTGGTGGAGCTGCAGAAATCAGTAAAGAAAAGGGGCAGTGCCTCTTTCTTGTGGTTGTAAAAAATTTTTCTTTGTTCATAAAAATACTGTTTGTGAAAAAAGATTCCTAAGTAGAATTAAGTGATTTATTTAAATTGATACTCTTTTTACCAAAGATTTCTGTTGATTAACTGAAAGAAATGAACATTGCATTATTTTCTAGCATGCAGTTTTTGTTTATAACAGTCATTTCTGTGGGGGGTATGTTTTAGGGCATCATTCAGAAGATAGTGGACAGTCACAAAGTAAAGCACGTGGCCTGCTATGGATTTCGCCTGAGTCACCTGCGGTCAGAGGAGGTTCACTGGCTCCATTTGGATATGGGTGTCTCCAATGTGAGGGAGAAGTATGAACTTGCCCACCCACCAGAGGAGTGGAAGTAAGATTACAAACCTACTTTGGGGTGACTCGGACGTGATTTGTTTTGCATATTAGAAACACACACGAGAGGTTGATTATCTATGTTTAATTTTCTCACTGATGGTCACTGGGACTCCTGTACACATAGAGTTGGCCGGTAATTGTTAACCAGCACTCTCTGATGCACGTGGGTGTAGCCTGTCTTCGGGCACCCCTGACGTGGACTTGCTTGAGCCGTCTGATTGCTTTCATTCTTTTGTGACGGTCTTTTGCTCCTCACCCTGCTCTTGCCAGTGCTGCTCTGTCCAGCCCCTGCTCTGAGCACTTCCGAGTCCTAGTGCTTTTACTTCCTATGCTGCTGGCATCCTTTCGCGCCTGGAGACCAGACCACACACCTGATGACCGTATTAATGTGCTACAGAGCTCACTCTGTCATGCCCAGTGATTGCAGCTCACCTAAAGGGTCGGTGTCTGTGTGATGTTCACATACAGCATTGATGCTGGGAAGTGATCTCAGTGAAGTCGTACTGACTTTAATGAAACTAAAATCATTCGAGGTGAGATAAAAGAAGTCCCTATAATTGTCCTTTCCCTGATTCTCTCCTAATAATTTTTTTTCACTTTTAAGTAAACCATGGTGTTTGTAGGAAATTGTACACCTAAAACACTTAACATTTGAGAGAAGTATAAGGGAGCTCTTCCACAGGAGCCCCTGTTTTTATAGATAATCCTGCAGAAATAAAGATGATTGTAGCGTAAAGAAGGCATTCAGATGTCAGTAACTTTCAGTTCAAGGATCTAAATAGATAAGATTAGACATTTAAAAAGAAAAACAAACATGTTTAGGTGAATAAATCTTTAGTTGAATAAAAATACTGTCCCAATTACAGCTTATCAGAGAAATATAATTTTCAAATTTGTCAAGTAGCTGGAAGAGACCTAACAAAATAGTCTGTAAGAATATAGTTTGGTTGCTTTTCAACAATGGCTGAAAAAGATTTGACTTCCATCTATTTGGTCAGTTAATTAAACAAGTGTTTAAAAACTAAGAATATCTAAAAGTTACCTGAAAATATATCTAGGTATTTTTAATTAAAACAATTCTGTTAACCTTCTGAATTTATGTAGACATCTCAGAGGCAGCATTCATTATAGCAGTAGTCTTAGTGCTCAGTAAATTGTTGAATGCAGATCCTGGGGTATATAAGCTTTGTTTTCTTTTAAGAAAACATTCTTTTAAGCCAGCTTATTTAACCTTAATAATAAGGATGTAGGCACTGTTTTGTTTAGTGGAGCCTGGATCGTCATAAGGAAGGAAAATGTGACTGACCCTCCTCGAATGAGGGGTGAAGATGATGACAGTGATGTGTTGTCACCATCGAGTGGCTGTTAGGAGCCATGCACTGTGCCAGCTATATGCTGTTTATAATTTGTAAACTCTGTATTTCCTTTACCCAAACCCTAGGAGGTAATGACTTGTTACCCTCATTTTGTAGATGAAGACAGAGGCACAACTAAATGGGTTTAAGTTGCATTCACATAGTTTGTGGCACAGTTTCTATTTGGATTTTATCCGACTTCACCATATGGGTTTTTAAAATCAACATGCCCATCTCAATGGGAATAATGTGATCTTCAAAACAGAGTGTAGCTAGGCTTATGAGATGAGTGAAGGTGCATGGGTTGTCGGTAGAGGTGATGAAAGAAGAAAATGTGATCAGAGATACAGGTGATACATGTGTGGTATCTTCAGGAGCATGAGAATTAATACAAACTGTTCTAATATATTAGTGGGAATAGGAGGCTGTTAAAATAATCAAGCAGACTTGAAAAAGAACAAAACAGAAGTTCTGGAAGTCATTGGATAGATAAAGCAGCAGATTAGACATAGCTGAAAAATCAGTAAACAGGAAGATGGATCTCAGAAAATTTGCCCAAAACATAGCACACAGATGAACAGATGGAAATTATGAAAACAGATTTATGTGACATGAAGAATGAGAAGGTCAGCCCTTTTCTAACAGGAACTCTGAATAAGAGAATAAAAAGAATGAGGAAGAGGAAATAATCTGAAGGGAAAATAGCTGAGAACTTTCTAGTGACATGAGTCCTTAAATGTAGGATTAACAGAAAAATCTCAAATTGGGTAAATCCAAATGCATACTTTGGCAGATTATAGCAAAATAGTGTTGTACAGAAGAAAATGAAAGGATGTTAAAAACAAGCAGAGAAAAATTAGACTTCTCACAGCATCACTGATGCCAAGAAAATGGTGGTATAATATGTTCAAAGTGGTAAGAAAATGTAACTGGCAGCCTATATTTGTTTGCATGGTTAAATTACCTCAAGAACAGATGTCAGTGAGCATTGGCTTCATGAAAGAAAACTAATGATAACAGATTTTTTTTTTATACTAAAAAAAAATAGAGCTCAGTGCAGGTTGGAACAGGGGCTATAGAATAAAACTTTGTTAGCTAAATATGAGGGTAACCAGCTCCAACATTAGAAGTACAAGCTAAATGGTTATTGGGCAAGTAGATATTAGAGAAATGTAGGGATCGAAAAGAAGGAAAGAAACAGAGAAGAAGCGTGGGGAAGCAAGATGAATAGAAATCACAAGTGAGATGCACAGATGCTAACAGTGAATGATTGTCAGAGGTTACTAGAGTGGATTAATACATAACATCAAGCCTATCTATTGTTCACAGGATATATCCAAAACAGTGACATTCAAACATTTTTCTTTTACTTGCAGGAAATAATGTATTTTACTGTGAGATCTAGCACACATATATACCTGTATGTGTATCTCAGAGCTGTTTATATGTCCCGAATCTACACATTTTACCAAACTACTCAGCATTATTATTTACACTAAGGTCTAAAGGTTTTCTCTTCAATGTTCTGTTTTGTTCTACGTTAGTAAAATAAATTAATAAATGAATAGTGAAAAAAATTTTCCTGCCTTCTAATGAGTTCGGACTTTCAATTTGAAAAACTCACATAAAACTTGAGTATAAATATACCAGGCAAATAATAACCAGGAAAAAAAAAGATCAGTATTGTGCAGCTAACACCCTGTGAAATAAATTTTCAGGCAAACAAGCTTTATTATAAATGTAGAGGGCAACCACATAACAGTAAAAGGTTCATTTCACCAAGAATTTAATAAGTATAGAAATAGATGTAGCTGTTTAACTTATAAATTCCTCAAAATATATAAAGCAGAACTAGTCTTAAAGGAATAAGACATACCTTTCTAATAATTAGAGGGAAGACCACAAACAATAGTAAGTAAACAGTAGTTTTTAAGTTATGTATTGAACTGTTTTCTCTAATGTAGAAATACAGGATCCTGCACATAACTGTATATTAAGCAACTTAAAAACATGTTTCTAAGTAGTTTATGGTTCAAAGGAAAAGGCCCAGCCTCCTGATGGCCTGGCTTTGATGGGCTCTTGACCCTTCACCGTCCAGTCTGCCCTCTGCAGAACCTGCTGGCTACAAACAGTCACTTACTTCTGTCTAAGCACAGCTGCCCCTCGGGGTCTGTGGGTTCCCTGGTTCTGCAGCCGGGGAGCCAGGCTTCAACCAACTACAGATCCAGAATTCTGGGTGTGGCAGGGGCGGGGGAGGGTGGATTCCAGAGAGTTCCAAAAAGCAAAACTTGAACTTACTGTGCCAGCAACTGGTTACATAGCATTTACATTGTATATTGCATTGTAAATAATCCTGATGCTCTCAGTGTATGAGAGTTTGTGCAAAGTTGTGCAGCTTTTGTGCACAGACTGTACCATTTTACACGAGCGTCTCGGGGTCTCGGTGTTTGTGGGGTTCTGGAACCAAGCCCGTGTGGATACCAAGCGTGCTTTCTTCACTCAGCCTCCTGGATACAAGTCTCTCTTATGGTAAAGGTTTTTCTCCTTCTTCACTGACCATCACTGTCTTCTCCTGCTGACCTTGATATTTGGGGCTGCTCCACTGACCTCGTCCTAGCCTCCCTAGACCTGTGCCTTTGGCATTAAATTCACACTTTACTTGGATAAACTCGGGAAACCAATGGACAGATTACTGCAATAACCCAGGAAAAAGTCACCGAAGATGACAGACCAGGAGAGTAGTACTTGGAGGAGCGAGAAGCAGCTATACCGAGATACGTTCTAAGGTTGAGCTCACAGAATTTGTGAACAAATCTTTTAAAATGTAAACATCCAAAGAAATGTGTAAACCATTCCCGCTCAGAAACTTCCAGGAGCTCCCCCCACCCCCTGCCCCGGCCCCACTCACCTGGAGCTCACTGCAAGTTTGTGGTCACCTCTTGGTCTTTTCTCCACCTCCTGTTCCCCTGCCTTCACTCTAGCAGCTGTGGTCTCTTTGAAGTTGCAGTTTTCGTAGGTACTCAGGTTGGGATCTCATTTGATGGTCTCTTCTCTGTTGCCTGCCTTGTTGAACAGAATAGCTCTTGTCTCATTTCTCTCTTTGCCTTTATCTTTTCCAACTTTTCACTTGCTCAACCTTGGCCACACTGGCTTGTGAACACGCCAAGCGGGTTGTCCCTAGTGCCTTTGAACTCGATGCTCAGTCTGTGCTCCTCCGCTGTTGCTGGCACGGCGGGCCCTCCCCTCGTTAGGGTGGGTGCGCCACCGTCCACTCCTCCCCGGGGCTGTCTCCAGCCTTCTTTCTGCAGGTCCACTGCCTGCCAGGGACAGCCCTTCTCCCTCAGGGCCGCCATCGTACTCACTGCTCTCCTGCCGGGTTCTGGTCACGCCTGGGATAAAGTAGGCACCCTGTAAAATACAGTTTAAGTGGAAGTTGAATCAGTTATAATGAAATTATCAACTAGGAACCAAATAGTACTACTTAGGAACAGTCTTCTCATATTAGCATGCTGCTTATTTGGTGTCAGACATTGTGTGAGAGGCTTGATAACCTGCCCACGATCACACAGCTTAAATGGGTGGCAGAGTGGAAACCGGCTTCAGGCACCAGCTCGCTCTTCTCCCTGCCTGTGTTAGGTGTGTGACTACAGGAAATAGGACACGGAGATGATCTCTCTCAGTCTATGAGGGCAGCTGCAGCTCTGGCTTTGGTTCTGAGTAGGATGTCAACACTGAAACCAAAGTGCCAGGACTCATCAGAATGATGATATTTGTTTCTACTCTTATGAGGTTTTTGAGCATAGATTTTTCTTTTTCACACTATCTGCTATAGCATCTATTCATATTTTTAAATAAACCTGAGATCTAAGCTTATTTAATTGAGTCTTCAGTTCTTCAAATACCTCTGTAAGCACCTATAGCACACATTTGGTAGTAACTGTTTCAGGCAGGGTGGCCCTACAGAGTTGTCATGACATGTCATCGGGGAAGGGAAGGGCTGGTTTCACACATGGCTGTCCTCATAGGAAGAGGAATAGCAGAATTAGATCCTACCTTGAACAATACACAGAAATCCACCTAAGGTGGATCAAGTTTTAAAAAAACGTTTAACGAAACATATAGTGAATGTGTCTTTAATGGAACATATAGTGAATGTGTCTTTTGGCACAGGAAGATTTTCTTAATACCCTGAAAATGTTCACTCTTAAAAGACGAGAATACCAAATTTGCCTTTTATGAGATGAAAGCATTCTGTATATCAAAAGATGTATTTTTAGAAAGTGCAGAAAGGACAGTTCCTCAGTGGTCCGGTGGTTTAGCTGCTTTTACTGCTGAGGGTCTGCATTCAATCCCTGGTCGGGGAACTAAGATCTCACAAGTTGTGAGCTGTGGCCGAAAGGAAAAATGCAGAAACAAGTTACCACTCGTGTAATTGACCGAAGATACTGTCAGGAGTTCTGCTGATCAATATAAGGATTGTAAATTCCTCAGCAAATGGGCACGGAGCATGAAGGCATTTTCATAAAAGGGTAGACAGGTTTGATCTGTAATCACAGGAAGACACTGTCCGCTTCCTTAGTGCTCAGGGAGGTATGAATCTGGACCAGTAGATTTTCCGTCTGCACTGTCTGGTTGACAAAAAGTATTAATAAGTTGTCCAGCAGTATTAATAGCGGGAAAGGTTAAGGATCTGATGATGATACTGAAGCGGCAGTCTGGGTGCCCAACGCATTGTGAAGCCAAACAAACTGAAACGTCAGAGTTTGGAGCAGAGGAAGGCATATTAAGGTCGATGCAAGGAGATGGGTGCCTCGAGCCTTTAAAACCTCAAGCTCTACCAGAGCTTTCAGCAAAGCTGTTTTCTAGGAAAGGTGAGGGAGGGGCGGGCCTAGCTGTTTCTAGATGTCAGAACCTTTGTTCTTAAGGTCAGGTCATGGCCAGGTAACATGCTCCTGTGAATCTCCGCCACACTGATGTTATTCTCTGTTCTGACAAGAAAGGGCTGATGCTTATCAATGTATGGCAGAAACCACTACAATATTGTAAAGTAATTAGCCTCCAGCTAATATAAATAAATGAAAAAAAAAGAAAGGGCCAGGTCCCCAGGCACAGCTTTCCCTCTCCCAGGTCCAGTTTTGGCTAAGAGGAGGTGAGCCCAGCTGGCGGCTCCCTCAGGGCCAGGCCCCGAGACCCTGCCCAGCTGTCATCGCTGAGGGAGCCAGGTGCCCAGGACCCAAAGGGCCCTCAGGCTCCTCAGGCCACCCAAACAGTTGGGGAGGGGCAGGTCCTGCAGACAACATGCTATGCAGGTCGCGGAGGCAGGGATGGGGGAGAGGGTCGCTGCCACCTCAAGGCCTGGGCCCGGCCAGTGGGTGTCCTTGACGAGGGCTCTGGAATTCTGCAGGACTCAGCCCGTGACCTGTCCCCTGGGCCCCCTAGCTCACCATCTGGCACTGGCCACTGGCTGAGTGGGACCACTAACGGTAGCTCACTGACGGTTGCTCACCTGGGCAGGGATCCACTGAAGCACTGACTAGCACTGAGCTAGATCTCTCGAGGTCACTCACTGACTGTTGGTCGCCTGGGAAGGTGCCACGTGGTACCAACCAAAGGCTGAGCGGGACTGCTGACAGTCACTCACTGACAGCTGGTCAGCTGGGGAGGGGTCCCTGCAGCCCTGACCACTGGCTCAGCTGGACTGTAAAGGCCGCTCGCTGACAGCGCCTGGAGAGGGGTCCCTGCAGCTCTGACCGGCTGAGCAGGACCAGTAGCTGGTGCCTGAAAGCGCGTGCAGAGTAGCATCAGGCACCACGGCTGCGTGCTCAGGGCTGCACTCTATTACAGTTCAAGATCTGGCCTGCAGCTTAGCCTCCGCATGACATGGCCTCAATCCTGCTGTTCCACTTCAGGTTCTGTCCTCGAGAGACTTGGGTTTCTGTACTAGGCTGGAGACCCGAGGACGTTCATAGAATAGCCAGTGACAGAATATTCGCAGTGGAATGTGGCGCGAGTCAGAATGAGGGAAGCATGGAGATTTGGAACACTAATGAAACAGCCAGGTGACAGTGTGTGACAAAAGGCAGGCCCAGGGCAATGTGCATGCAGCTAAATACCGTTGAACTGCACACTTTAAAATGGCTGCTTTTGGGGGAGTTAGGGATGCCATGTGGCTTGTGAGATCTTAGTTTCCGACCAGGGATTGAACCTGGACCCTGGCAGTGAAAGCCCTGAGTCCTAACCACTGGGCCACCAGGGAATTCCCTGAAATGGTTGCTTTTTATGTGAATTTTACCTCAGTTAAAAGACAAAAAGTAAGCCCCAGAGGATGACATACAGCATCATATACAAGTAAAAAGCAAAATAAACATTAAAGAATATTGTTGGGAGCACATGAGGTGGGTGAGAGAATATGGGACATGTAGATACAGGGTCAGGAGGAGACGGTCAGTGCAGGGCTCCTGTGGGGAGCGCGCCCAGCCTCCAGCCTCGTGAGGGCCCTCAGGAGCCGGTGCGGGGCCTCAGGTCTGTGGCAGAGCCCACAGCCCCCGCGACGCATGCACCCTGCTTCCTTCCCAGTCTGCCCACCTGTGCCCTGGGTCCTGGGAGGTCCCGGTTGAGTAGGCGGTGTTTGCTAGGCTATGGAGTCAGCCAGAGAAGTTCGACTGCAATGCTCTTCCTAGTTTATCATGTAGCTGAAAGTGCCAAGCAGTTTTGAGAGCTTTACCCCAAACAGATTTAAACTATAAAGTTTTGTACCTAGATAATTAAATTCTAGCTAGCTAAATTTTGGTGTTCTGAAAGCACCTACACGGAGTGGTCTGAGTTGTAAGCAGGTTAATCAGATATAAACGGCCTGGTCCTTTTGGTGTGGGATTCAGGGCTTTGAGAGCCAGGCCTGAGAGGAGGCTCTGTTGGCCTTTGAGAGAGAACTGTGGGGCTTCTGCAGAGCGAGTGAAAAAGAAAGTCCTTTTCTTTGTTATCAGATGTGGTTCACATTCTCCTGTTCAAGGCCGTTGAGCATTTCCTCAATCTGCAGAGAGATGATTCTTTTTTCAGACCTTTGCAGGAGGAAAAAAAGTCCTGTATTTTGAGGAAAGGTATCTTTTTTCATAGGTGACAAAAGAAAACGACTAGTGATAGCTGAGGAAGTTTTAGATTGTGTTTTGATGGTTTTCTGTTTTATCTTGAAATGACATTATCTGTGCGTATACCTTAATTTGAAAGGCTAGGCTTTCATTATGACACTGAATTCAACAAGAGTTCTTTAGAATATTTAAATCAGTAAGACAGTAAATAGAGGAACATTCTGACAAGTGTGGAAGTGACACCTTTTAAGAAAACAGGATGGACTTCCAAATTTGCTGATTGATTAATTAAACGCTTCCTGGATACCTCTGCACCAGACCCAGCACAGGAATGAACAGCTTTCTGGCCAGTCTATGGCCACAAAAACTGATGTTCGTTGACCAGACTGGTTTAAAACTGGATCTGGTGGGTATTTTGTTAACACAGCTACAGGACAGTCAGTCTTAGGTTTGTGAGAATTTATTTTTATTCTCAATGTGTTATCAAAAAGTTGCAAAAACAGTACACAGAAATCCTGTGTACCCTTCAGCCCTCCTCCCCTAAATGTCAAAACCTTACTTAAGTACAGTTCAGTTATTGAAACTAGGGCCTTAACATTGCTACCATAGTATTGACTGATGCACAGATGTCATCAGGGTTCAGGGTGTCCGTCTTCCAGCCTGGGATCCAGATCAGAGCATCGTGCACCTCCGTGTCCTGTCGCCTCGGGTCTTCCCTGCTCTGTGGCAGGCCCTCAGGCTGTCTTTGTCTGCGTGACCTTGGCCCTTTTGAAGTACACTGGCTGATGGTCTTGTGTGTTCTTCAGTTCAGGTTTGTTTGGTGTTTCTTCCCCCGTGATTATATTGAGCTTAAGCACTTGGGGAAGAGTACCACAGTCAAGCTGTCGTTTTCACTTAGCATTTTATCAGGAAGTCTTTGCTGATGATATGATTCATTTTACTGGTGGCTTTAACTTGGATCATTTGATTTAAGGTGGTGGCCAGGTTTCTCTGCTATAAGGTTGTTTGTCCTCCTCTTTGCAATTAAGTAATATCTTCTAAGGAGATACAGAGACTGCAGTTTCTCTCTCATTGTATTTTCGCCCACTCAACATCATTGATGATTCTTTTTTGCAGTATTTATTGCTGTAATTTTTGCCAAATGGTGAATTTCTATTTCTGTCCTTCCTTGTAGGCTTTTAAAATTGGAAGCCTGTGTAAGAAGAGTTGTCCACACCCCACTGTTTCCGAGGGTCATCTGTGTAGTTTCCTGAAATTGTACTTTGTTTATTTCACTACACACAGTCTGACTAGCTGAGTATCAGGGTTATCTGAATATTCATCCAACTCAACTTGCAAAACTATTTCCTACTCCTCCCCATCATTATTAGTTCATTAGTGAACTCATGGGTATCTTGGTGAACTTGTGGGTATCTTGGTGCTCACAGTTGGAGATAAGACTGAAGAAGTTAGGTGTTGACAGTGTTAATGGTAATGTATTAACTTAGGCGACAGAGGATGAGATGGTTGGATGGCATCACCGACTCAATGGACTTGAGTTTGAGCAAACTACGGGAGATAGTGAAGGACAGGGAAGCCTGGCGTGCTGCAGTTCATGGGGTTGCAAAGAATCAGACACGACTTAAGTGACTGAACAACAACAATTACTTAGAAGCAGAAGCGAAAGGATGGTTTTATCTGGGGCATGTTGTAGTTAGCTGTTGTTCAGAAATCATGGAGTGGCCTAGAGCAGAGGTGTGGAAATGTTTATCAGGACAGAGCCAGGCTCTTAGAATAGTAGCGGAAGTTTCACTATGAGGAAAATGGCAAGTTTCCTGGAGGAGAAGGGAGAGAGGATGCCAGCGCAGGTGGGTCAGGAGGCTGTGAACGCCAGGTGTGGGGTTTAAGGAGTGGGGCAAGGTGACTGAATTGGAATTGAACTCGGAGACTTGAGCGGTGTTCCATTAGGGCTGTGAGGGAGGAAATACGAGATTGTAGTGGGTTGAAGCAGAGACCAAAACGCCATCACAATCTAGAGACCTTGCCCAACCCCACAAGCAAGACCCAACCTACGTACACTCCTCTTTGTTCTAAGCGTAGGTGTCTTCTCTTAGGTTCATGCTGCCCCTGGGCCTTCAGGGGTGTTTCTGCTGTGGTGGAATCCCAGGGCTGCCTGTTAACAGCCGTGGGACCTTGGCTACTACCGAATGTCCTCAAAGTCTGTTCTCCCCCCTCTATGAAGATAGGGTGAACTGGGCACCTGGTCACTGTTACCAGTCCTTTCCCAGCCTCCTTGTGGCCCTGTTGTCTGCTCTTCACGGCCCTGCCTGGCTGGGCGCCAGGACTGTGCTGTTACTGCTCTGGCCACAGTGCCCCTGGGCCCCCTTTCCCAGCAGAACGAGCCCCGCATTGTGACGAGCAGGGTCCTGTGTGGCCTGCCACCTCTGTTCCCCGCTTCCCCAAAGCCCTTTTACTCCCAGGGGCTGCGGCTGCATTCCTCCAGGCTCCCTCTGGCCATAGGGCGTTTACTTGTTTTCTTCCTGCAGGTTACTGCCCTGATTCCTTCCTGTCTGCCTTTAGATCTACTCAGGTGTCCTGAGTCAGCCTGCTTCCCTGGCTCCCGTTACAGAATGTTGCTTCATCATCTGTTCCTCCCCTTCCCTTGCTTGTTGTGTCTTTATCACATTACCACCTCAGAGATACTTAACGTATCTGCTGTCTGGCTGCCACCACAAAAATAGAAGTTTTCTGCAGGCTGGTGCTTCCTGCTGTTTTATTCACCAGTGTCTTCCCAGACTCTGAAATTGTGTCTGTAGGTGACCGGTGCTGAAGTATTTGTCGAGTAATGGCTAATATGGTGGATCAGCCGTCGAGACGGCTGTGATGTGTGCAGTGACAGCCCTTTCACTTCTCCCAGCGTCCTGATGAGGGCTTTCCTGATGGCTCAGTTGGTAAAGAATCCATCCGCCTGCAAGGCAGGAGACCCTGGTGCGATCCCTGGGTTGGGCAGATCCTCTGGAGAAGGGAACGGCTGCCCACTCCAGTGTCCTGGAGAATTCCATGGGCTGTGTATAGTCCTTGGGGTCTCAAAGAGTCCGGTGAGGAAATTGAGGCGCAGAGAAGTGATGGCAGACAGCGAACAAGGGGTAGAGCCAGAACTCAGGCGCAGGTGGTCTTGATGCAGAGCATTCTTTCTGCTGCTTCTGGGGGTCGTTGCTGATGAAAAGAGGTCATCTGGTTAAAATGCTTGTCATGATTTCTGTGACATCCCGAGTAGTCCCTGAACGTTATTTGATATCATCATCATCATTGTCGGGATGATGTTAAGAGCCTGGACATGTAGCCAGGCTGCCAAATGTTTAGCAGGCCAAAACAAGCTGCCAGGTTTTTGTTGTTGTTTTTTTTTTCTTTAATCATTAAAATGAGGGAATGTTAATATCAAAGCCTCCTGCAGCCTGTTGATCCTGGAGCTTCCAGCCTGGAAACTGGCTGCTTACTGCTTATTCTTGCTGAGTGTCGTTCTCCCACTCTGCTGAATATGAATACGTATGCTCTTGTTCTCTGATTATTATGTCGATTAAGAGAAATGGTGCCTAAAAGGTGCCTGCTAAATCCTAAAATCAAAATGAAATTATTCTGCTTCTATCAACAGTTGTCCCATGAGAATGTCTGCAGAAAGTTATTGAACTCCTTCTGAGATTCAAAGGACAATGGAACTTTATTGTTTGACAGTTGAATATTTTAATAAGATAGACTCTTGAAAATGTCAGCAAAACTTGTGTATGTGTACCTTGCGTTGAACCACCCTTAACTGAACCAAAAGAATTGTATTGACTCCTTTGGATTCTTTTCCTCATGAGCTTAATACAATTTTAAAAGATCAATTTATGAAATTTTTAAAAAAAAATCTGTATAACTTTTGTGTAAGCAAATATTTTATAAACAAAAAACTAAAAGAATTTACTAAAAAGAAAAATAAATAGGACTGCATTAAAACAAAAGATACCATTAAAATTAGAAGATTTTAAAAATAAGTTTTTTAAAGTATGATTAAAATAGTGAAAGGCAAGCCATAG